GCTGCTCCTGGCACGCTTGGAGGGGTTTAGGGTTTAGGGTTTAGGGTTTAGGGGGGTTGGGGAGGGGGGTGGGGCGGCCAGGGTTGGAGGGGGGGTGGGGGGTTAGGGAGTTTAGGGGTGTGGGTTTTTTTGGCCCTAGGGATTTCGGACTTCGTTTCTTGAAGCTTTTGCTGGCGGAGGGTTTTGGGTTGGATCTTGGGTCTCGGGGATCAGATTCAATTTTCGGGAACGCTGCAGAGGGTGTCAAAGGTTTTGGGTTTTGGGCTTGAGGGTCTGTGATGAGGTGGGGGTTTTCAAGGTTGTTTGTTTGGGTGAGACTGTAGGGTGCGGGTTTTGGTGGAAGGGTTTGAAGAGCTTAAGGCTTGAGAGCTTCCTGGCTTACGGGGCACGGAACACAGGAGACTGCTCCGGATTTAGGGTTTGCCTGGTCCTCGAGCCGGCGAACTGCACCCGAGATCCCAATCCCTGAAGCCTTAGCCCTAAAACCCCTGAGCACCTAAACCCCAACCCCTGAGCACCCAGATTCTGAGCCCCTAGACCTCTCACCCTAAACCCTAAACCCTAAACCTTAAAACCCTAAACCCTAAACCCTAAACCCTAAACCCTAAACCCTAAACCCTACACCCTAAACCCTAAACGCTAAACGCTAACCCCCCCCCCCCCCCCCCCCTTCTGAGGCCCGAACGTGTCGGCAAGCTTCCCCTGCCTCGCTCCGGCTCAAAGTCAGCTCCCTCCCTATTCTCCTTTGTTACTAGACGACAGCGTTTGTTTCGCACCCGAAGAGGGCCCCCACATGCCCCTTGGAGGCATTGTTTTGGGGAGGGGGTGGTGGCCGGCTTCGGGCTGAGGGCTGAGGGCTTAGGGTGCCGTTCGGGGTTTGGGTCTTAAGGTTTGAGCCCTGCAGTCAAAGGTTTAGGGTTTCGGGGTTTAGGGTTTCGGGGTTTAGGGTTTAGGGTTTAGGGTTTAGGGTTTAGGGTGTAGGGTTGAGGGTTGAGGGTGAATCTGTCCAGATGCAGCGTACATTCAGCAAAGATGCGCCGACTCCACTCCGCGGGGGGGGGGGGGGGGGATGCCCGAACCCAAAGACCTTCCGTATTCTCCCGCACCCAGCGGCTTGAAGCCCTAAACGGCCCAAGACTCTAAACCCTAAACCCTAAACCCTAAACCCTAAACCCTAAACCCTAAACCCTAAACCCTAAACCCTAAACCCTAAACCCTAAACCCTAAACCCTAAACCCTAAACCCGAAACCCTAAACCATAAACCCTAAACCCTAAACCCTAAACCCTAAACCCTAAACCCTAAACCCCAAACCCTAAACCCTAAACCCTAGACCCTAAACCCTAAACCCTTGATCTAGGGTTTCTACCTTGAAGCCCGAAGTCGCATCGAAGCTCAGGGCTTGGGGTTCTCATGGCCCCTTGGGGTTCGGGTCCGTAGAATTTAGGGTTTAGGGTTTAGGGTTTAGGGTTTAGGGGTGTTTCTGTGTTTCGCCTTCCCACCTCACATTTCCTCTTGTAGTCCTTGTATAGCTGTAGAATTCGCGACCCCCAGAATGCCCATCGCGGTCAAGTAGGTTCTGTCGTATCATGCTCTGGGGCTTGGGGCGTGTGTGGGCCGTGGCGGCCCCAGGCGGCACTTTTGGCTCGCCTTGCTGGCGAGAGTGCTGCTCGCCAGCGAAGGCCGGTGAGATGTCTGTTGTCCCTACACCCTAAGCCTTAAATCCTAAACCTTAAACCCTAAGCCCTAAACCCTAGGCCCTAAACCTATGCAGTCTGAGCAGTCCAGGATTGCAGTTCGGCTTCTGCGTGCTCGCATCTCGCTTTTCTCCCTGCGCTTGCAACGAAAGGAACCTGGAACCCTGCACCCCATGCCTTCATATCCAAAACTCAACAGTGTATTGAACATACGACTATGGATGGCAGGGGTTAGGGTTTAGGGTTTAGGGTTTAGGGTTTAGGGTTTAGGGTTTAGGGTTTAGGGTTTAGGGTTTAGGGTTTAGGGCCTAGGGTTTAGGGTATGGTGATGTCGATGCCTTTGCACAACTGAGCCCATTCGCAGATGCGGCTTTGCCGGACGACTGCCCCAAAGAGGACCCGCTTCAGCTTATGCAGCGCCAGGCCGGATCTAGTACGAAAGGGGCTCTATTTAGTTGGATTGGGGTATGTTGGGCAGTGTATACCTCTATGTATATATATATATATACACACATTGTGTCTTTTAAAACATAAACTATAAATATATTTACTAGGTTATGTTATATATAAAAAAATAGTATATATATATATATGTATATATATGTATATATATGTATATATATACACAAGCTGGGGAGTACGATGGGATAGCTTTTGTTTCCTAAGCGTTGGTTTAGGGGTTTGGGTTTAGGGTCTCGGGTGTAGGGTCTATCATGAGAGGGTCGTGGGAGTCGACCTTTGATGGTTTGGGCTTGTGGACAGGGCTGTTTAGGGTTTAGGACGTGTGTTGTGACCCCAACATTCCTGTCAGGGCGCGGCAGTGTACGTGTACGTAAACCCTCAACTTTCAGCTGACGACAGCATGGCCACTCGTGGCCGCGGGACAATAGCTGCCTAGTGACCTGAGGCGTTCAGGCTCAGGGCAGTTTAGGGGCTGCTTCGAAGCCAAGTTTCCTAAAAAAAGCCCTTCCTCGTTCAATCCACCACATCTCGTAAGCATTCACAAAGCTTTTGAAGGCATGACCAGGATGTTTCGGGCCATGGTCGCAGCTGCCTTCTGGACTGGTTGCCTCGGGGATGCCATCGAGGGGGACTGCAAGGAAGCCGACCGCCAGGGCCTCTCCTTCATCCAGGCGAAGGCGCTCGCGCGTGACGGCGCTGCAAAGAAGGAGGTTGAGTACCATTGGTCTTCGGGTCGGGGCAACTTCCCCAACTATGGTGTGGCCAAACACGCGGCACCTTTCGATCTCTCCGCCCGGTTCGCTTGGAACTGGTCTCATCCCCTCGGAAGGTTCCACACCCTGACGTATGGCTCTGTCATCGACCAGCTGAGCAATGTCTACCTCAGTGGAGCAGATGGAGTTCGGAAGTTCGATCCGAGTGGCAAGTTGTTATGGGAGTATGCGTCGCTGCCTGCCGAGATGATGGATGCCCCGTCCCTGCTCAACGGGATGATCTACGGAAGTGACACGCACGGGAACGTGGTCGCCCTGAACATGGAAGATGGCAAGTTGGGGTGGAAGACCCAGGTTTCAAGCGAAATCTGCCAGGACAACGGGTTCACCATGGCCAAGGACGGTGTGGTTCTTGCTGCCAGCGATTGTCGCGAGCCCTCCCCGCAAGGATCGGCCAACCACTTGGTCAAGGCTCTGAACGCAAGCACCGGTAAACAGCTCTGGACATATGCCCCCGACACTGCCATTTGGAACTTCCTGCCCCTTTTTGTCGACAAGGGCGACTTCGTGTTTCAGGACATGACCGGCAAGGCCTACCGACTGGACCTGCACACCGGCCAGGTCATTTGGAAAAGCGGCGGCAAGAACGGCACTTGGACAGACGGGGGCGCAGCCGTGGGCAACGGGATGGTCTTCACGGTGAACAACAACCACCCCCCCGACTACCAGCCCCCAGATGCCCAGTTTGCCAACGGCGAATACAACCCTGGCACGCTGAGTGCATACAACCTCAGCACCGGTGCGCTGGTCTGGCAGGAGGTGACTCCGCGACCACCCAACAATGCCCCGGCCGTCGGCAAGGTGAAGAATCTGCCCGGCATGTCCGTGGTCATGCCCCTGTGTCAGCAAGTGCGCCAAGGAGCCTCCTGCGATGTCCATGTTTACGATGCAGACACTGGAGACCTGCGCTGGGTCTTCCATGGGCCAGCGCAGAAGGGTCTGGTGCAGGCGGGAGACCTCGAAGGCCTGGTAGAACGCACGTTCCTTGGCCAAAGATGAACCGTAGAAATTGGATCAGGGTTTAGGGTTTAGGGTCTAGGGTCTAGGGCCTAGGGTTTAGGGTTTAGGGTGCCAGACATGATCCATGGCTTGCATTGAAATACTACAACATACGCGGCCAATGCCAAGACTGTTTGATCGCAATCCCTTGCCCAATTAGTAAAATCCCACTCTGCTCCTGCCCCCAAATACTACAAAACCCCAGAAGTGGAAGAATAGTGTCTCGCTTTCGCGAGAGCCCTAACCCTGAAACCTTCAGCCCTCAACCCTACATGGGGGGTCGGGAGCGTGCACCTCCATCTGCTGGCTGGTTCTTAGTAGGGAATGAGGGAATGAGGTACCCTATACAATCTCTTAAAAGGGTATGTATAGGGCCCTAATTCCCTCATTCCCTACTAAGAACCCAAGGGCCTGAGAAGCTCTAAGGATCGTGGGCGTCCGCAGCGTGTGCCTACCCAACGGCTGGAGCGCGCCCACCATCGACGCGGAGGGGACGGTCTTTGTGGGCCATGAGGATGGAAACTTCTATGCCCTCCGTGACATGGACGGTGATGGCACGATCTTTGGAGATGAGGAGTCGCAGCTTTATGATACCAAGGCAGCCTTCTCTGGATCCTCCTCCCCGGCGGTTGCTCCAGGCATGATGGCAATCGCCTCCTGCGACTCGCTCTTCGTGTTCAAGAAGTGATCTCGCTGAGATGATATCAGCAGCAGAGTAGGTAACCTTTAACCCTTCTGGCGTATTATAATCCCTATGTAATCCCAAAGGTTAGCCTTTAGTTCCCTAGGTTGCTGGACAACTAAGTATGACATCAGCAGTTTTGGAGCCGCCCTCAGAAGTAGGCGTGGCTGCCTTCATGTGAGTCCTAGGGGTGACGAGCCATCTGCTCGCCTGCGTGCTCCTAAACCCTAAACTTCTCCTAGCCGCCTTTGGTGAGCCCGGCACTTCTCCTGTCCTGTTTAGGGTTTTAGGCTTTTGGGGTTTAGGGTTTAGGGTCTAGGGTTTAGGGTTCAGGGTTTAGGGTTGCTGTCATGTAATCTCTCAATCCTGCAGTGAGCGTGGGCGTGCT